GTGGGGAAATTTTGAATGGCTACGACTGTATGTGAAACTAACGGGCAGAGGTGTGGAGCCATCAAGTCATCTCTAAGTCATGTATTTGGTCTGCCCAGCCACTGAACCAGGTAAGTCCAATCTGCACAATATAATACACTGTGCAGGACTCACCTGGTTCAGTGGCTGGGCAGAACAAATACATGACTTAGAGATGACTTGATGGTTCCTTATCTCCCACCTCTGCTAATGGGATTTAAATTCCTTAGTGAACCAATAAAAATCATGAGCTTCTCAGTCATGGTTTACACTTTTATCCTTGCTTCTTGTTGTTCTTTAGCGGGGCTTTTAAGACAGGACGCTGTTGGCGCTGCGCTTACTGTGCAGTTTGCTATATTTTCATATTCAATTTTCTATTCAAATCAGTTTATGTATACTATAGCGGCAATTCACAACACATGTCATCTCAAGGCACTTTACAGTTCACCAGATCATACAGTCAGATTGATTCCAAGCTTTCTATCTAAGGAAAACCAGTTGATTGCATTGAATCATTGACTCGAATGTAATCCCTCACACTAAGCATGCTTGTAGCGACAGTGGAGAGGAAAAACTCCCTTTTAACAGGAAGAAACCTCCAGCAGAACCAGGCTCAGTGTGAGCGGCCATCTGCTGAGGCCGACTGGGGTTCAAGGAGACAGAAGCAGAGATGCAAAAGGCAACTGTAAAAGGCGGCCCCGTCGAGGAAACACACAGCCAGGCAGACGAGCTCCGAGCCAGCTCCCATGTCAGAGGATGAAGAGAGCACATCGAGGCAGTCACAGTCAGAGAAACAGGACTACAAACTTCTAGGCGAATCTCGACCATCTAAGGCAGATCTTGAACATTTAAGGCCGATCTAGGACATATTTGGATTATCTTACGCTGGATGTTCGGTGCTGGGCTAGCTAGATGGGTGAGTGATTTTTTGTTGTTACCAATAAAGTCCTAAAACAAGCCTTGCTAGTTAGAGCAGTGACATAGAAGAGAGAAACCCTAGGTCCGGAGAGCAGATTGAGGCATTCCCGACTGTTTCCATGGTTCCAATTATAAACTTCTTGGGCAAGACAATCCGAACGCATCGCCGGCTGTTGGCAGTTGGAGGGTACTCTTGTTCCCATCTACGGTAGCCTCGCCTCTGTCAGTGAGCCCCAGGGCAGCTGTGGCTATGGTGTAGCTCACCACCATCGGCGAGTTTCTCCACCTCTTTGGACAGGACGCCATATCCAGGTCTTGATATGTACAGATGTCCTTTTCTATTTCCGTCAGTTAACCAAAAGAATGGCATAACCAAGACCCTGACTCTGAGCTTGAATTTAAGTACCAGCTGGCTTTAAAGGTTACAGATTATACCTTTTTAGACTTAATTCATGTTTTATCTCAAAGCCTACAAATTTCTTTGCTGGATAAAGGTCAAGATATTCAAACCCTCTGTCTTGAATTTCCATGGGTTTTACATCATCTTTTTGACGAAAGCATAGATGATTATGGAAATAATGTCTTGATCACATCCACCCACCTCCTGTACCAAACTAGTCGTTACCATTAAGCGTCGCAGAGGTGGCTCTCCCCAGTTGGTTGAAAGGAAGGTTATCACCAGTCCATCACCTACAGTTCAGACTGTGGCGAGGACCAGAATGGAACCGTGCATGCTTAGGAAGTAGTTCCAAATAGAGGAGCCGTGAGATATTTCCACTGTAAGGCAAATGTTCTGGCCTTAACCATCTCCAGCACATGTTGTTCTAAAGTTAATGTACTTTTCTGAATGTTTCCCCTCTCCTGGCCTGGAGGACACAGCGTTCATTTCTTCCCATAAAAGTCTGGACTGCTGATTTGTCTGACCACAATAAATATTTCCACTGTTTGATGGTCTGCTGTTCATAAACATTTCTTGATTTAGTGCCATCTGAAGGATCATAGTTCCTGTTTGTTTGCCTCAGGCTTGTGGTCTCGATGTTAGATTCTTTTGGCTGTTCATGTAGGTGATATAAATAATAATTATCCTTTTGACTATTTTCTTTTGAAGATTCAAAGATTTTGTACACAACTTTAGAGCTATTATTCAAAAATCAACAAGATTATTTTTACCAACTTTTTATACATAATTTACATTTTTTAACACCTGTCCTGTTTTTTATGCCACTAGTTTTGTTTCCTTCCATAATTTTTTTAATGTGAATTTTGAAGTATCGGATTATAAAAGCTTTAAGGAAACAAGAAAAAGAGAAGCAGGTAAATAAATGTCATTTTTCGGGAGGAACTAAGCTTTTTTCTTTGCTTTTGTTTTCTCAAATAATACCTTTTAATATATAATTTTCTCAAAATTGAGAGTCGTAGTTTCACAAATAGCATTCTTTTTAAAGTGCGTTTCTCTGATCACCTTAAGTCTAATAAAAACGCTGATTCTTGACCAATAAAAAAGGTTTTTGCTAACATCCGACAGACCAATAGAAATTATGTTAAAAATATATATATTTAGTGTGAAAAATGCAATTTGCATTACTCTATCTGAAAAGAGAAATAATAAAAATAAAACACTTGAAAGTATAAAATCAGTATAAAAAATAAATAATAGTATTTTGTAAAAATCTAAGAAATCAGCAACTTTTGTCTCAAACCCTTTTATGGATTAAGAAATTTCATTTTTGGAACCCAATTTTTCAAAATTTTCATTTACTAAATGTGTTTTTTTTCAACAATTACATATCAAATAGACTTCAAATCAGCTGAGGTGTTTTTTTAAACTTTTTCTAAAAAGAGTAAACAAGCTAATGAAGGGATGGAAACACATTTGTTGAATTATTTCTGATTTAGCAAACATTTATCACACATGACTGATTAGCTTTTTCCTCTGCCGTCATCCTAAAAAATCTCACTTCTATGTCTCCAGATAGCACGTAGCATCGCTAATCCTGTTTGAAGTGAAAAAGTAACGACAACTCTCCTGACTGCAACGCAATCTTTAAAACCTGGCTCCATCGCCGATCTGTGGTCATAACTAGCTTGCTAACTGCTTCCTGTTTATTGCGTAACCTAAATGTGTGCCCACATTACACATCACCGGCTTTATTCGTTTAAATGGATGGAAACGCATCTAATTCACATTTCCTGCTTTTGCACATTTTAACATTTCAATTCAGTTTATTTCTATAACATCAATTCACATCACACATCATCTCAAGGCATTTTATAGTTCAGTACAGTACAGATCATCCAGTCAAATCTATTCAAAGTTTTCTAAGGAAAACCAGTTGATTGCATCGACTCATTGACTAGAATGCAATGCCTCACACTAAGCATGCTTGTAGCGACAGTGGAGAGGAAAAACTCCCTTTTAACAAGAAGAAACCTCCAGCAGAACCAGGCTCAGTGTGAGCGGCCATCTGCTGAGGCTGACTGGGGTTCAAGGAGACAGAAGCAGAGATACAGAAAGTAACAGTAAAATGCCAGGAAACACACAGCCAGGCAGACAAGCTCCGAGCCAGAGGATAAGAAAGAGCACATCCGGCCAGTCGCAGTCAGAGAAACAGGACTACACTGAAAAGCAGGCTGGGAATCAAACCCGGAACCTTCTTGCTGCAAGGCACCAAGAGGGCCCCCCCCCTCCTAAAAATAATGCAATAGGAAACAGTGGAGCTCACTTCAGGTTCTGTTTTCCTGCTCTATTTGGTGACTTTCCTACGTTTAGGAGGCTGGTTTCGCTACGCAGGCATGAGGTTTTGGTCGAGCATCTTGCTTTTAAGCACGCTGCTTGAAAGCTTGTATGTGGTGAACTTTTAAACCCGTACATTAGCTCTCTGACACTTAATTGTTACCAGCATGCGAACGCGCACTGTAAACATGGCAGCCATGACACACAGCTACCACACACACAGCGTTCAGAGCCTCTCCCTCTTTAGCTCGTGGAGCATTCCTCTCATTCATGGAAGCAAGGCCCTCCTAGTGAAGCGCTTAATTGGCTGCAGATTGCTCTTTAACCTCTGGGTTATACCACACACTCACACACAGGCCGGGCTCACACACACACACACCACACACAAAGGTAGATAGGCACACAAACACACACACTTGGCCGGCTGGTTAAGTCTTAAGGAAAACCAAGAGCGATCTTTACAACTCAGTCAGGAGGTCAAAGGTCAACAGCTTGGTGGCAGACATCCTTTGAGGATCCGTCACTCAAGGCTACGGTTTCACGGTGCTACCACACACACTTGCATATGTTTGGATGTGTGAGTTTTTTGTTTTGAAGAAGCTAACTGGCTGCTGCTTTTCTTTTTAAATGAATACTTTTGTTTTTTAGGCTGGGATTCCCTTTTCTAGCTCTGTGCATTTTACCTACTTGACAGAATCCTGTTATATATTGGATATTATACTCAAACAACAGGTTTTTGTTCATAGGGAAAGTATTAAAAATGCACCTACTGGTCTCACATATCCAGCTTACAAATATTAATATCTGTATATAGACAGATTTTATTGCAGAAATATAGTCCATATTTCAAAAAGGAACACATAAAAATACAATAAACAATACAAAATAAAGAGAAAAGAAAATATATACCAACAAAAGAGAAAAAAGAATGTATTATAAAATATTTACAGTCATGATGTAAGACTGTAATAGGCAGGAATGATCTAATGGAAAAATACGACTCTTCAAAACACCATGAATGTTATTCATCGAAAGTACTGTAATACATTCGATACTTGGATTACTGTTACTCCTGCCAACCTCTGTCGCCACTAGGGGCGCTAGACCTCTAACTTCTAGATTTAGCCTCCATCTCCTGTTAAAAGGGAGTTTTTCCTTTCTACTGTCGCTACAAGCATCCTTAGTGTGAGGGATTGCCTTCAAGTCAATGTGTCGATGCAATCAACTGGTTTTCCTTGGATAGAAAACTTTGAATCAGTCTGACTGGATGATCTGGTGAACTGCGCTATGGAAATAAATAGAATTGAATTTTTTTTTTTTGTCTCTACAGCCCGACAGAAACATGTCTGCCTGACCAGTAGCCTGAGTCGGCTTCATCACTGTGAAAACTAGAGGCCACCTGTGTCCTGACATCTGACATCTTTCGTATCCCAGTTTGAGGTGAGTTCTTATTATCTTCTGAATAAACAGAGTGGTGCTGGAATAAACCCAGAGCAGGTATTCGGCGTCTTCTACTCCCATACGTCCCTGTAATGCTGCGTTATGCCAATCGCATTATGAGTGTCAGGGCCGTCCGACGTGCATCGAGGACGTTGAGGCTACAGCACCCTGAAGTGACTCAAATCTGATATTTTTTTTTAACCATATGCGACTTCTCTGATCTGATCTGATCTTTTCATGGCTGTCTGAACGACACAGATCCGATTTTTTTCGAATGCAACCCAGGCCACTTGGCTATGTGGTCCTGAATCTGATACGGATCTGATCTTTTTAAATGCGACCTGTGTCTGAACCGCCAGGTCGCATTCATCCGACCTTAACGCCATTAATACCCGACAGTGGTTGCTATTCTGGGTCTTGCTACGAAGAAGCGGCAAGAAAAACAACAACCATGGTGGACGACGATATGGAGAGCAGTATTTATGTTTAACCATATTAAAACGATTGTGTTTTTATGGTTGGGAAAGATCGTTAGAAGCTCTCCAGCGCTACCATCCGTGTTTACTTCTGTAAACACAGAGCAGGCTGGCCTGTGATGTCATTGCACTTGCATTGTATGAATGCAGTTCACACAGGAGATCACATACAAGTCGCATTTACTTGGAAACGTAAATGGCGACGCAAAATAATCGGATTTCACAATTGAGCATCAAGGCCTGCAGTCTTAGAGGTCCTATAGTGTGTTTCAAACAGCAGTGGGAAATTCCTAATACGCTGACACTCCCAGCGCTGTATGTGGAGCTCTGCCGCTCTGAAAAAACACTTTTAATATTTAAAACTAGGGTTATAATCTCAATTAACTTCCTTCGTGGATGATTTTTTAAGAAGTACTTTCTCTCTAAAAATATCTTAAAACAACCATCTTTAGTACATAAAGCAAGACTACTCTGTCATTGTACAAAAGAGACTAGAAATGGGCGTCCCAAAGTGCTTCAGACTTCAATATGCGTAAGCATTCGAGATGAGGGTTCGGACAAATGCCTTAAAAGCAGGGGCAGAGCTAGATTGGGGGGCTCGGCTGGCCATGGCCACCCTTAGCCAATCATTGGCCACCCCTACCATTTGTTTCCCTCTAATACAGACAATGGCAGGTCCAATGGAAATGTTTTGAATGTTCCACTCTCAAGTGGAATTTTTCATATATTTGCAATTACTTGACAACAAAAACAGTGGTTAATTATGCTTATCAATATACTAACATTAAAGATGATAAGTACAGAATTCATGCTCTTTTCAGAACTAGATTTTGTTATATGGGGTAAATAGAAAAGTATGTGTCTCTGCAAGTCATCTAGGAGTCTAGGAGTCCTGTTTTAATAAACACTTAATAATCAATATATGAAGATATTACTACTTGCATATATCAATGTTATGCACAATCATTGTTGATAAAGTAGGTAAGTAATGACAATTTAAAAGATATTCGCCCCAAAACTCAAACCACTATACAATTTATCTACAAAGCACGGACGTTTAAAGTTGAAGGGAAGTATATTTAAATGTCAAATCAATCTCGCTTAAACATGTACATAAATTTACTCTTTATTGGACCATATTGAGCCAATATTTAGAAAATTTCTATTTAGAAAAAAATCCTTTCTTAAAATCTGTGTTATATGTCAGCCTGAACACCTAAATTCGGCCAATCAGAAATCGACGGTCATCTGTCAATCACATTTTTTCGGTCATAGCATCTTGATTCATGTGTCGCAGCTAATATATATTCCTGTTCCTGTTGCAATAGTGTAGATTGACCCTGAGGTTCTGGTTATCCACTTTCTGAAACCCCTCAGTGTCCAATGGTTATTGCCTGGCCACCATTATAAAAATATTCTGGCTATGCCTCTGCTCATTCTGAACGCAGCTTTAAAGCGCTAGAGTTGAATTTCTACATGACTCACCCTGTTCTTCCAAAAGCCGTAAAATCACGCTCCCCTAAAAACCATAAAAAAGTATAAAAAGACGTAGCGCTCATGTGTTCGTACTTACAGCAGAATGACAAGCGAATGAGCATTTCTAAATCTCTGCAGTAGTTCTAGAAGAAAAAAAAGTTTTATTTTCATTCAAATCTTAAAAAATATAAACGTTGTTTATCCTTTTTTAATGTCCAATACAATAGAAGAAAAGCAGGCACGCATCAGTAATGGCAACATGTCCTCTCACTGTACAGCCCCATGAATGATTAAGCCACTGTAGCAATGAGAGCAGATCATATTACAGACGCCATTTTGTTTGCTCCCCCTGCTACCTTTCATATCTCCAGCAGTTGTTTACCATATTTACTCTAAACAGGACGGCCGTGGAGTGAGTGTGTGTGTGTGTGTGTGCAGATAGAGACAGAGCGGTGAGAGTTTGCAGGCGGGGTGGCTTGCTCGGAGTTAATGCCACAAATTGTTGTTAGATGCAGGTCTCCCTCTGCCATGCGTTTTGGACAGGAAGAAAACGTGATTGGCTTTGTTCAATCTTCCTGGCAGCCGACACCAGCTGACATCTGTTCCCTCCTAACCACTCAGACTTATCTCCATCAGGGAACACACACAAACACGCACACACTCACAAGCAGCGTTACATAAAACAGCCACATGCACACACTGATTCATGCACTCATGCAAACAACCATTCTTGTGCCTTTTGAGGAAAAAAATATCAAAGCAGGGTGTCCGTGGAAGATTTTCTAGCTTCCTTTTTTTGCAAACATTCGCTCATTTAGCCGGTAATGAAGAGTTCAGTGCGTGACAGTCATATGGAGGCAGAGGGGACATATAGAAAGAAGCTCTTCGCTGTTTTCAGAAAACTGTGCAAAAGGAAAATAATAATTATTAGTTAAAAGAAAAAACACACAGAAGAGAGAAAACCGTATCTGATGTGATTGTGGCAAAGCTCTACATCTTATTGAAGTTCATTTATATCATCTGTGAAATTGGAGATTTGCGACATATCTTGTTTTTTTTTTTACGTTTTTAAAGGTGTCTTCACCATGAAATCTGATTTTGCTCAAGTAAAAACTTGTTTATTGGTGGATGATTTCAGTTAAAACCTGCTGGAAAATCTCAGAGATTTTCCAGAAGACAGGGACTTGATGCCTTCCTTGCTATCACAATGCCAACATCAGCCTTCCTTGCTATCACCATTCTAATATTAGCCTGCCTCGCTATCACCATGCTAACATTAGCCTTCCTTGCTATCACCATTCTAATATTAGCCTTCCTTGCTATCACAATTCTAATATTAGCCTGCCTCGCTATCACCATGCTAACATTAGCCTTCCTTGCTTTCATCATTCTAATATTAGCCTGCCTCGCCATCACCATGCTAACATTAGCCTTCCTTGCATTCACCATTCTAATATTAGCCTGCCTCGCTATCACCATGCTAACATTAGCCTTCCTTGCTATCACCATTCTAATATTAGCCTGTCTTTCTATCACCATGCTAACATTAGCTTTCCTTGCTATCACCATTCTAATATTAGCCTACCTTGCTATTACCATGCTAACATTAGCCTTCCTTGCTATCACCATTCTAATATTAGCCGGCCTTGCTATCACCATGCTAACATTAGCCTGCCTCGCTATCACCATGCTAATATTAGCCTGCCTTTCTATCACCATGCTAACATTAGCTGTCCTTGCTATCAGTATTCTAATATTAGCCTTCCTTGCTATCACCATTCTAATATTAGCCTGCCTTTCTATCACCATGCTAACATTAGCTTTCCTTGCTATCACCATTCTAATATTAGCCTGCCTTGCTATTACCATGCTAACATTAGCCTTCCTTGCTATCATCATTCTAATATTAGCCTGCCTCGCTATCACCATGCTAACATTAGCCTTCCTTGCTTTCCCATTCTAATATTAGCCTGCCTTTCTATCACCATGCTAACATTAGCTTTCCTTGCTATCACCATTCTAATATTAGCCTGCCTTGCTATTACCATGCTAACATTAGCCTTCCTTGCTATCACCATTCTAATATTAGCCTGCCTTTCTATAACCATGCTAACATTAGCTTTCCTTGCTATTTCCACCATCTTCTCCATTCCACCAAGCAGAGACCCGCCTGCAGGCAGTTAATAAGGGTTTTACTAGTGTAAAAGAGACCAGGAAGATGGGAGGTAAACCAAATATGGTTAACTGCTAATGTTGCTAACATGGATGCTTATCCAGTAGAGAAAAAAGGGTTATAGGAAGTGGTCGAAGTGCTCTATTTATTTATTTATTTATTTATTTATTTTTAATGGTTTAACATGTACTTTAAGACCATTTCAGAAGGATTGTTCATGAAAAATACCATAATATAATTCCTTTAAGTAAATAGCAATTAGCAAAAATACAAGTGTGACCAATGTTGTGTTTGAATGTCTGTCTTAACCCTAAATCCTTCAAATACTACATAGAGCGGGGACTATATAGTGGACTTTATTGTGAACTCAGTTAACTGACCGTTCGGACAAATGATCACTACTCTTCGCTCCCCGTTGGTCACGTGACTCCGCCTCCCCACAGGGTGCATGCGCCATCTTTGTGCTGATGAAGGTTCTCAGTCATCCAGGTCATAGTCATTCCGTAAAAATTCAAAAAATATCCACTGGACTTGGTTTTCAAGATTTGAAGACGTTTCGCCACCTCTCCAGGAAGCTTTCTCAATTCAAATGTCTGGATCCGCAATGAGTTTGAGTCTTATATAGACAACGCCTTGTATCGCTTGGAAACATGCAATAGAAACCGATGAATGGGTCGTTAGTTCCATCGTTAATATTAGCCTGCCTTTGTTATTTGTCACCACTTTGACAACAAACCTCATAATGCTATACATTCTTACACAGTCTAAAACTAATTTTCTTTGAAAAATTAGGATTAAACAGAAACATCTGTTTAAATTTGATTAACTATAAGTCCTCCCAGCCATTAATTGCTGAACTTGTGCCCTCCTGCTCT